GGTTACTGTAGCAAGGAGGAGTGGTAGGGGCTCACAGAAAAGGAAGGATTTGAGCACCCAAACAGATTTGCCAAATTGGGTGAAGATGTAGGGGTGGCAAGCTCAGGGGTGGCAGCCCTGGATGTCACTGCTATCCCTAACAGGATGGCAGACCATCTGGGAGGGTCGTGAGGGTTGTGCGGGATGGCCTAGACTGTTGCTGGTAATAGGGAATTCTATAATCAGAAGGACTGATAGAATAATTTGTCGCCAGGATCGCCTCAACCAAATGGTTTGCTGTCTCCCTGGTGCCAGGGTTCGGCATGTGGTGGACCAGGTTAATAAATTACTGGGAGGGGCTGGGCATGACCCAGCTGTCTTAGTCCATGTTGGGACCAATTACAGAGTATATAAAAGAGTAAAAAGCGCCTTAGTATAAATAAACAAGCTGCTATGCACAGAATTAGGTACCAATACCCTATGAAAGAGACAATGTATATAGCAAGTGCAGCGCTCGTAGCTAATAGAGTAAATAGATGAAATACAGTATCATAGGTCAAATTAGATTCAAATAAATGTAAGGAGCTGTCCCATAAATATAAATAAATCAGGATGATAGAATGGAATAATCAAAGGTGACTTCGTTGTCCTGGTAGAGGTGGAAATGAAATGCGCACTCACCGGACGCGCATATTAAATGCGCCTTGTATATATTAATCCTGATCTTAGGTGGTAGGAGGTCTTCCTTCTGTTGGAACCCAGATGAGTTGTCCTTCTCCCTCAGATATGCCTGTGTGGTCCTGGTGGGTGCTGTCCCTCCCAATGGACTGGGTGGTAGGTGGCGATCCGTCTCAACACTGGACCTGTAGGCTAGAGTACTCCCCCAGGGGACAACAAGGATACTCCCATAGTATAGTAGGTTAAATTTTATTGAATAAAAAGGTGCATCACATATGGAAGTGCAAAAAAAACCGTTGCAGACAGTTGTCTGTAAGAGGACTGACCAGCTGGTATATTGTAATGGCCGCCGGAGCTCCACGATGCTCCGGCGGCATGACGTCACGGCGTGATGTGGCTCCTCCTAAAGGATTTTATTTATTCAATAAAATTTAACCTACTATACTATGGGAGTATCCTTGTTGTCCCCTGGGGGAGTACTCTAGCCTACAAGGTGATATTCTCTAAAATATTACCTATTCCATGCACAACACAAGAAAGATGAGGAGATTATAGAACTAAATGCATGGCTCCCTGAGGCCATTGGGAACATCACATGGTCATACCATGCTCCGGTTTCGATCCAATATTCTCTTTTTGGGACATTGAAGTCACGGCACTCCTCTTGGAAACTGAACAAAAGTCTGCTGCAAGACCCCATGATTTCAACAGATGTGAGTCAACATAATGATTCATACTTTACTATAAATGATACTCCAGATGGCAACCCGGGAGTGATAAGGGAAGCCCATAAGGTGGTTATCAGGGGGGTTCTTATTAAACACGGAGCTAGAATTAAAAAAATAACACGAGGTGCAACTATCTGCTCTCTTGGCAAAAAAATCCAGATTGTGGAATCTCGCCACAAACACGCTCCGACTCCTGCTCTGGAAACGGAATTGTTTCTTCTCCACAACCAGGTCACGGATCTCTTGCACTTCAAGGCCATAGCTGCCCTTCACACATGTCACTGAGTATTCTATGAATCTGGTGACAAGTGCTGTCGTGTCTTAGCTTACTCATTATAAGCAAAACGTTTAGCAACTTACGTCCCCCACATCACACACTCAGATGGCAGAAAAGCTACTTTTGCATCACATATTGCCAAGATCTTTGGGAAATTTTACTCCACTTTATATAAACTTAGACCTTCTATTTGCCCCAAGGATTCCACACAGGAGTATGTGCAGGCCTCAAGCCTACCTAGGATGCCCTTGCCAATTAGACAGGAGCTGGAAGATCCTATCTCCCTGATTGAAGAGCAAAACTCACTAGGTTCTTTCAAATCTGGAAATGCCCCAGGTCCTGATGGCCTAACAGTACAATATTGCAAGACTACTCCCACACCCCGGACAGCATATGGTCAAATCGTTTAATGCATTAGGTGACTCAGCCTATCTCCCTTGGGACATAATATTAGCTCATATTACTGTGATTCCCAAGGAAGGGAAAGACCCCATATCATGTGCTAGTTATAGACCAAGCTCTCTCTTAAATGTGGACCCTAAATTGTTCACCAAGGTAATTGTTACACACCTTCAACGACATTTACCCTCCACCATCCACCAGGATCAGGTCGGCTTTATTCCGCCCTGAGAAGCACGGGACAACACCATTAAAATTCTGAATCTAATTCAGATCTCCAATCAGTCTGACACTGCCTGCGTGTTTTTAGGGACAGATGCCAAAAAACTCCTTCAACCAGGTTGACTGGAGTTTCATGTTTGCGGTCCTCCGTCATATACTATTGGGAGCACATATGTATCGATGGGTATCTGGTGTGTATACCACCCCTACTTCCTCGGTGAACGTGAACGAAGTCCTCTCTGGTCCCTTCCCCATCTCCAGTGATACTCGACAGGGATGCCTATTATCTCCCCTTCCTTTTGCTCTCACTATAGAACCCTTCCTTTGTTTGGTTAGGCGGAACCCAGATATACAGGGAATAGAGTCTGGTGGGATGTGGCACAAGATCTCAGCCCATGCTGATGATATGATGATATTAACATTGATCAATCCAGTGATTTCCATCCTTAACCTTCTGTGGGAATTTGAGCGCTACGGAGCCCTGTCTAACCTTAAAAATTAATTTTTCTAAACCAAAACCATGGGCATAATGTTGCCTTGACCTCTCCAAAGTTTCCTGCAAACCAATTTTAATTTCTAATGGTCTAATACAGCTCTTAAGTATTTGGGCCCTCTGATCCCTCCACAGCTGACATGCACTTTCTCCCTGAACTCCCCCCTGTCAGGAATGGACTGGCCAGCAATGGTGGGACTCACCTGCCTTTTGATCTGCAGTACCAGGGCTGGCCAGCGGGTGCTCCCAGCAATCAGAGACTCAACCTTTCAGCCAGCTAACACCTGGAACTGATGATACTGGTGTATTTAAGGGATGGCCAGACTTGCAGACTCTGCCTTGGTGTTGTGTTTGTCCTGGGCCCTGTATCTGTCCTGCATCCTGTTTCTGTTCCTTTGCTACCTGTTCTGATCCCTGGCTTGTGACCCTGACCATCCCTCTGCCTGACCCTCTGTACTACGCTGCTTGCTACCTGTTCTGATCCCTGGCTTGTGACCCCGACCATTCTCCGCTTGCTCCCCCTGTACCTACCTGCCCAATTGATATTGACTCGCCTGCCTGACGACGCTTGCTTGTATGTACTGTTATCTGTGGGTGGTTGGTTGGGTTTGTTTGCACTGTATTATGTTTAGTATTGCACTGCGTTTATGTTTGTATTGTTAGTGTTAATAAATTACATTGTTAATCACATAGCTGAAGTCTGCGTTTCCCTGCTTCAGTCACACACCTCTGGTCATACCTGGGAGCCCTGACATTACACCAAGGCACAATCCTGACCAGAAGTGGCTGCACAGGGAAGCCATCTTGGCTTGTTGCTGGGAAGGATGGATCTGGATGAGGTTGTGTATTTATATCTGCTAGAGTTTGATGACAGGGAGTATGCTTATCAAACTCTGAAGGAGTATCCCAGGGATCAACTACTAGAATGTATACGGCTCGCTCATGTTCTAGTAGATCAGGGCACAGAGTTCTCTGAGGTGCAGCCTTTGATTGAGGTTTGTGCTGAGTTGGTTTCATCTGGTTTCCCCCGAATGCAGGGATGAATTTTTGCCACCATTTAGTGCAGACCAGGTAGAGTCCCTGGTATGGTTATTAGAGGATGATGTGGGTTACTTTCTGGAGCGTTATTCCACATGTTCACCACAGACACTAAGAGATTGTATAAACGCAGTGCAGTCATTGACCAGACAGGCTTTGTGTAAGCTCAGCTTTGTTCAACCCGTACTGCAGACATGGACAGACTGTTGTTGCACCCAGCCTCAGTCAGCTTACAAAAACCCAGTCCTGCTTCTAACTCTACTCCTGTGTATTCCCACCAGCTCCTCCAGTTACAGCCCAGTATACTTGGCTATCTACCGCATGTCAGTACCCTGTTCCCACTCGCTGCACCTATCCTGCCTTTAACCCTGTAAAAAAGCCCTCTGTAGCAACTGCTCCCTCTCCTGTTCCATCCTCCAGTTCTTCTCTGTCTCCAGCTGCTCCATTCGTTTGCAGACCTGCGTTTACTTGCAGTGCTCCAGTAGTTTAAAACCAGAAAAAAGCGAAAATTCTTTCCAACCAATACCATCCTGCCAGTATCCAAACCGGTGAACCTGCCTTCCGTGACTCAGCCTGAAGCCTCTACTCGGCCTGAAGCCTCTACTCGGCCTGAAGCCTCTACTCGGCCTGATGCCTCTACTCGGCCTGATGCCTCTACTCGGCCAGAAGCCTCTACTCGGCCAGAAGCCTCTACTCAGCCTGAGCCTGTACTCGGCCTGATGCCTGTACGCAGCCTGATGCCTCTCTTCGGCCTGATGCCTGTACGCAGCCTGATGCCTCTCTTCAGCCTGATGCCGGTACGCAGCCTGATGCCTCTCTTCAGCCTGATGCCTGTATGCAGCCTGATGCCTCTCTTCGGCCTGATGCCTCTACTCGGCCTGAAGCCTCTACTCGGCCTGAAGCCTCTACTCAGCCGGACGCCGGCATTCAGCCTGATGCCTCTACCCAGCATGATGAACTGATCCAGCCTGACGATCCTATTAGGCCAGTTGACTCGATGCCCGCTGTTGATCCAGATGATCCGGTACCTGATCCGGTGCCCGCTGTCGTGCCAATTTACTCAGAGCCCGCTGTCGTACCTGGTGACTCGGTGCCCACTGCCTTGCCAGATGACGCGGTGCCCGCTGGCGAGCCAAATGACCTGATGCCTGGTGACCCAGTGCCCGCTGTCATACCTGGTGACCCGATGCCCGCTGTCGAACCAGACGATCCAATGCCTGGTGACCCGGTGCCCACTGCCTTGCCAGATGACGCGGTGCCCGCTGGCAAGCCAAATGACCTGATGCCTGGTGACCCAGTGCCCGCTGTCATACCTGGTGACCCGATGCCTGCTGTCGAGCCAGACAATGCGGTACCTGATGACCCGGTGCCCACTGTCGTGCCTGTTGACTCGGAGCCCACTGCCTTGCCAGATGACGCGGTGCCCGCTGTCGAGCCAAATGACCTGATGCCTGGTGACCCGATGCCCGCTGTCCAGCCAGACGATTCAATGTCTGCCCCAGTGCCCGCGGTCATGCCAGTTGACTCGGAACCCACTGCCTTGCCAGATGACGCGGTGCTCGCTGTCAAGCCAAATGACTTGATGCCTGGTGACCCGATGCCCGCTGTCCAGTCAGACGATCCAATGTCTGACCCAGTGCCCGCGGTCATACCAGTTGACTCGGAGCCCACTGCTTTGCCAGATGACGCGGTGCCCGAGGTCGAGCCAAATGACCTGATGCCTGGTGACCCGATGCCCGCTGTCCGGTCAGACGATCCAATGTCTGACCCAGTGCCCGCGGTCATACCAGTTGACTCGGAGCCCACTGCCTTGCCAGATGACACGGTGCCCGCTGTCGAGCCAAATGACCTGATGCCTGGTGACCCGATGCCCGCTGTCCAGCCAGACGATCCAATGTCTGACCTAGTGCCAGCGGTCATGCCAGTTGACTCGGAGCCCACTGTCGTGCCTGGTGACTCGGTGCCCGCTGCTCCGCCTGGGGGCCCGAGACCTGTCGCTCCGCCTGGGGGTCCAGCGCCCGCCGCTCCACCTGGGGGTCCGGCGCCCGCCGCCCCGCCTGGGGGCCCGAGACCTGTCGCACCGCCTGGGGGTCCGGCGCCCGCCGCTCCGCCTGAGGGCCCGAGACCTGTCGCTCCACCTGGGGGTCCGGCGCCCGCCGCTCCGCCTGAGGGCCCGAGACCTGTCGCTCCACCTGGGGTCCGGCGCCCGCCGCTCCGCCTGAGGGCCCGAGACCTGTAGTTCCGCCTGGGGGTCCGGCGCCTGTCGCCCCGCCTGGGGGCCCGATGTCTGTCGCCCCGCCTGGGGGCCCGATGCCTGTCGCCCCGCCTGGGGGCCCGATGCCTGTCGCCCCGCCTGGGGGCCCGATGCCTGTCGCTCCACCTGGGGGTCCGGCGCCCGCCGCTCCGCCTGCCTGAGGGCACGAGACCTGTCGCTCCACCCGGGGGTCCGGCGCCCGCCGCCCCGCCTGGTGGGGGTCCGATGCCTGTCGCCCCGCCTGGGGGTCCGATGCCTGTCGCCCCGCCTGGGGGCCCGAGGCCTGTCGCTCCATCTGGGGGGGGTCCGCCCGCCGCTCCGCCTGAGGGCCCCGAGACCTGTAGTTCCGCCTGGGGGCCCGATGCCTGTCGCCCCGCCTGGGGGCCCGATGCCTGTCGCTCCACCTGGGGGTCCGGCGCCCGCCGCTCCACCTGAGGGCACGAGACCTGTCGCCGCTCCACCCGGGGGTCCGGCGCCCGCCGCTCCGCCTGAGGGCCCGAGGCCTGTAGTTCCGCCTGGGGCCCGGGCCGGCGCCCGCCGCCGCCCCGCCTGGGGGCCCGATGCCTGTCGCCCCGCCTGGGGGTCCGATGCCTGTCGCCCCGCCTGGGGGTCCGATGCCTGTCGCCCCGCCTGGGGGCCCGAGGCCTGTCGCTCCATCTGGGGGTCCGGCACCCGCCGCTCCGCCTGAGGGCCCGATGACCTGTAGTTCCGCCTGGGGGCCCAATGCCTGTCGCCGCCCCGCCCGGGGGCCCGAGGCCTGTCGCCCCGCCCGGGGGCCCGAGGCCTGTCGCCCCGCCCGGGGGCCCGGGGCCTGCCGCCTCCGCCCGGGGGCCCGGTGCCTGCCGCTCCGCCCGGGGGCCCGGTGCCTGCCTGCTCCGCCCGGTGGCCCGCTGCCTGCCGCTTCGCCTGGTAGCCCGATGTGCCTCTGCCCGGGGTCCTGCCCGATGTGCCTCTGCCCGGAGTCCTGCCCGATGTGCCTCTGCCCGGAGTCCAGCCCGATGTGCCTCTGCCGGTGTGCCTCTGCCCGGAGTCCAGCCCGGTGTGCCTCTGCCCGGAGTCCAGCCCGGTGTGCCTCTGCCCGGAGTCCAGCCCGTGTGGCTCTGCCCGGAGTCCAGCCCGATGTGCCTCTGCCCGGTGTACCGCTGCCCGGAGTCCTGCCCGGTGTGCCAGTCTTTGATATCCCGCCAGTTACCAGACCCGGGCGGTGGAACATTTTTCCCAGCTAGGACTGTTTGGAGCGTCCTGAGGCCGCTCCTTGAGGGGGGGGGGTACTGTCAGGAATGGACTGGCCAGCAATGGTGGGACTCACCTGCCTTTTGATCTGCAGTACCAGGGCTGGCCAGCGGGTGCTCCCAGCAATCAGAGACTCAACCTTTCAGCCAGCTAACACCTGGAACTGATGATACTGGTGTATTTAAGGGATGGCCAGACTTGCAGACTCTGCCTTGGTGTTTGTGTTTGTCCTGGGCCCTGTATCTGTCCTGCATCCTGTTTCTGTTCCTTTGCTACCTGTTCTGATCCCTGGCTTGTGACCCTGACCATCCCTCTGCCTGACCCTCTGTACTACGCTGCTTGCTACCTGTTCTGATCCCTGGCTTGTGACCCCGACCATTCTCCGCTTGCTCCCCCTGTACCTACCTGCCCAATTGATATTGACTCGGCCTGCCTGACGACGCTTGCTTGTATGTACTGTTATCTGTGGGTGGTTGGTTGGGTTTGTTTGCACTGTATTATGTTTAGTATTGCACTGCGTTTATGTTTGTATTGTTAGTGTTAATAAATTACATTGTTAATCACATAGCTGAAGTCTGCGTTTCCCTGCTTCAGTCACACACCTCTGGTCATACCTGGGAGCCCTGACACCCCCGCCCCCACTTCTGGAGGGAGTCCACTCTCTTTTGTCTACTTGGCATATGGGCCTATATTCCTGGTTTGGCTGGTGCATCCTGCCTAAGTTTCTCAACCTCTTTCAAGCCTTACCCATCCGCATTTCATTATAGTTTTTTCGGACAAGCTGACGCAGTGATCTATGATTTAATCTGGGCAAAGTTAAGACCACGGACACAACGTAAGCTCTTCACCCTGCTGAAACAGTATGGTTGGTTGGCAGTTCCAAATTTACGCAAATATTATCAGGTGGCTCATCTTGGGAGACTGATAGACTGGTGCTTTGATGGTGACATTAAAATATGGCCCAACATTGGAGGGCGTTTCCGGAGCAGAGGCTGAATGGCTACATAACCACACAGCTCTGCTGTACTCACAGTGCCAGCACACAGGAGGAATGGACCTGACACTCTAAAAGCGACCAGAGGAGAGGCAACAGCCCAGTGACCCTCAGGGAGATGACAAAGAAGAGGAAAGCTGAGAGGAAACTTCTGAAATTAACAGAGTTTCCCCCTAGGCCAGATCACAGCAATCTCAATATGGCAGCAGCAGCTCAGGATCCCCTCTTCTCACTCAGCACACAGGCAAGTCTCTACAGCTTCTCCTGTGACACCTAATTAAGCAGAAAAAAACCGCTATCTTACTGCATCCTGTGTCCCCTGCTTTCTCTGCTTCCTCTATTGAAAGCCCAGCAAAATCTAAAATTGAATGACAGATGTTAAACCCAGGACATTGAATGGCTCTAAAATAAAAGTTATCAGATCTAAGGATAGATCGCAACATTACATACTTTAAAATAATGAGGGCATTCCAGAAATCAAGTACAACCTGAACCAATTTGAGGATCATATACCCAAGAGCTGTTATTCATGCTTCCCTACCTGATCGCGAACAAACACAGATCAAACCATACGATAGTAATCACAATCGCCTTCCAAAACCCTCCTATCTGGCCAGATAAAATACCTCCAGATGTCTTGATGAAAATTAATTTTTTTCATGTCAAAGAAAAAATCAATGGAAATTGCACCAAACCCCATAATTTGCCTGCACAAATTCTCCTCTATTACAGCTTTTTCACAGATTTATGTAAATATAGTTGCACATGCAACTCAAGACAAATCCCTCCCAATAACAAAATCTCTACAAACCACAAAATTATTTATCATTTGGGTCACCCACTAAATTGATCGGACATCCAGACATGAAACAAACATCACAATTCCAAAAGCCTAGAGGAAGGTCTGGAATGCTTGGGGGAGTGGGACATTCTTCCCCGAAAGTGGGCCCCCAAAATTTACCCAAAACCCCGGCATCTCCAGAGTAGAAAACCGGTTACTCACAAAAAGCCAAACTTAAAAAATTGACCATAATTTTTTTAATTTTTTTTTCTCATGGTCCCACTTAGAAAGTAATTTCACTTTTTTAAAGCAAGGCGTGAGGGTACTACCCTTAACGAGCACACTTTCCTTAAGTAAGGCCCGCCCAAAGGGAAG